CGGATGAGCCCGGTGCTGAGCCGGAGGCGCACACAGCGAGGAGCCCCCAGGCACCCAGACGTGCCACAGCCAGGACTGCGGGGAGCAGTGGCTCCCCGTCCTGGAAAGCACCGGGCAGGGCGCGGTGCCGTTGAGGGGAAGCACGTGCCCGGCAAAGTGCGGTGACCCTCAGTGCACCCGAAGGCCATCGGGTCCGCGGAAGGGAAGTTCCGCCGGCGGCCGTAGCAGCGACTCCGCCGCACGGGCGGGGGTGGGGGTGTCGCCGTGACTCTTGGGGGTTCGAGCCGGCCGCCCCGCCCTGGCCCTCCGTCCTCTCGCTGGGCCCCGGCCCACCTAGCTCTGGCCGGGCGCTCGGGCCGGGGAACCTGCCTGGGCGGCGGGGGTCACGCCCCAGAGCGGGGACGCGAGGACGCGGAGACGCAGGTCGCAGGAGCTCCCCGCCAGCATGGCGGAGCCGGCCGGACGCCGGCCCGGAGTCCGAGCGTCCCCGCGAGGGCGCGGACCCAGCACGTCCTCGCTGACCACGGGACGTCCGGGGCGCCCGGCCAGGGGCTCCGACTGCGCCACGCTCGGGGCCCGCGAGACCCCGCCGGAGCGGAAGCCAGCGCGGCCCTGTTGCCATGGCCACCGCCGGGCTAGGACAGGGCCCACGGCGCAGGCGCGGAAGGGCCACGAGCCCGCGGCGCAGGCGCAGTAGAGCGCGTCGAAGTCACGTTTCCGCGCACGCGCGCGGCGCTCGCAAAGGCTGCCGGGGCTGCGATGGCTGCCGCGGAAAGTCGGCCTCGCCGAGCGCCGGGCCCCTCAGAGCCTGGCCTCCTGACGCCGCCTGGGCCCGTCGCTTGTCACGGATCCGCCGCCCGCGCCGCCTTGGGGTTTCATCTCGGTGACGCTGAGCCTTGGCCAGAGCTACGACGGCATCGAAAGCCGGCAGCGCCGCTCGTGCTGGCGGGTCCGGCGGGTCGCGTTGTCTCCGTCCCCCGCCCAGGCCAGGGACGCGAACGCTCGTCCTGGCGCAGGGAGCAGAGGTCCCGGCCTGCACCGTCCGAGGGGCCGGTGTGCGGGGCGGAGTCGGGGAGGGCGCCGGGCGGGTTTCCGGGCGGCCCTCGCTGTCACCGCGCTGAGCGGAAACCCCGGGGCCCGGTCCTCGGGGAAGAAGGCAGCGGGTGACATTCCCCGCGGGACGTGACTCTCAGAACCCAGCCTCGGACGAGGTTCCTCTGAGACCGCGATGGGATAGCCGTTTCGTACTCGTGTCTAACTCAAGCAAGGTCACTGTGCCACCCCAGTTGTGCATTTGCCCCCTTCTGCCAGTGCCCAGTCTGGAGCAAAGCCCTCCCCCAGATCACCCAACCGCGGTCAGGTCCTGTAATAGTTCCTCCTGACACCCACGTCCTGAGTCACCTGCAGTGCCTGGTGGCGCCGGGCAGAGTGATGAGACCCCTTTTTAAGCACAGTTGTGTTTGTGGCCTTTGGCTGAAGGGCATTGACAAAACTGGAGGTCCACTGTCTTGGACTGGGGCCTTCGGCTCGGTACAGTGGGCCCAGCCTCATGAGACCCCTTGTGCCTCTCTGCCCACGGTGCCACCTGCCCTCACTGACACTCTCAGCCCTGTGTGCGCCTAGGAGTAGGGCCCCCAGTGGGTTTGTGTTACCTGGATTTAACTTGGTGAAATTGTTTTCTGGAGTCTGACACCTGATTATCTAATGCTCTGTCTGTCTGTCTGCTTAGTAATGTCGCCAGCGTTGTCACGTCTGCCCTCAAGCCGGCCTCCAGGGCTGACACTGGTGGAGTCTCTGCTCAGACCCCTTTACCCATTCAGGTGGTCCAGCCATGTTTACCCAGCCACCATCTCAAAACCTTATAAGGACTTCTTACTCCATCTCGTGTGGCCCTAAGAGCTGCTTTTCTTTGGGTTCTTTCTGCCTGGAATTGGAGGATTTTTCTGGTCACTGATAAATGACAAAATAAAAACCCACTGCTGTGATCCCCCTGACCTTCATCCTGTTATTTCTGACTGCCATGGTCTGACAACCCAGGAAAAACAAAACTCTCATGCCTTTTCCTAGACAGGCCCCTTCTGCTACTCGAGTTTTCTTCGCATGGTTGGTGATCCCAGATTTAACTCATGAACCCTGGACCTTGAACTCACTTCAATACAGTGTGTCTGCTGAGGTCACTGCAGTCCCATCACAAGGCCTACTGGGTCAGGAGGGAACAGTGACCAACACCAGTTCTCTGGTTTGCTCAAACTGCAGATAGTGTTCACTTCCACTCAAGGAAGGTGTACGTATCGAGGGCACCAACTTAACTCATTCCTGTTAGAATAGATAATACCTCCACCTCCATGGCAGCCTGTGGCCCCGAAAGCACGCCTTACCTAGTGTCAGGGCTGTGCCTGCCTGCTCCACAGTCACAGCCCGTGCATTCAGAACAGTTGGGAGAGAGTCTGTATTTTTAAAATTCCCGTTTCTCCAAGAAATCACATTTTCTTAAAAAGAACACCCAGAAATGTCCAAAATAACAAAAGTATCGGCTATTAAGAAAACTTCCAGCAAAGATGACTGGTTCCCTCTTCACCCATACGCTGAGCTACAGTTTCCACAGCTTTTTTTTTTTCAGAGCTCGTCTCTGACCCTAGCAGAGTCACCAATGGCACCGGCGCTCCAAAAGCCCAATACATGCATCTAAATCCACTAAGAGTCATCACGGAAATCTCGTCCCTGATTTCCTGTCCGCTAACTGCGAGGACACACATGCTATAATACTGTTAAACCTCAGCTGATGCTCCAGAGAAGATAATGATCTGTGACTGGGATGAAGGGTGGCTGGCGAGGGAGCTCCCTGACTAGACAGACCTGAGTAGGTTCGGGACCTGTCTGTGTCGCCGGATCACGAACCGTAGTTCTTGCCTTAAAGACCCGTTGGGAAGCATAACCATCATTCTACTTAACTGCGGAGTTGCAATGAGCCGATGACCCTGCCCAGTCAGTGTTACCACAGAGCCACCATCACGGCTCCTCCTACAACAGCAGGAAGAAGATACGCCCTGTCACCTGCACACACCTGCAGGGCACACACCAGAGCCAAACCCACAAAATCCCGGCACTGGGGAAACTTTGGTATCATGAGTTAGTGTCCTTAAGCCTGGAGGGGGAACTGAGAGAGAAAAGGCCAGCCCCAGGTGCATCCTGAGACCATCCGGGTGAGACACCTGGGGCTCCCTGGCTGTAAGTGCCACCGCAGTGCCACCGCAGTGCCACGAGTACACGTGCTGCCTGGGACAGCACGGTGGGTGCCCAGGGGTCTCAGGCCGCGAGGCAGCCACACCCTGCATAGGGCCGGGCCGGGCCGGGCCTGAGCCCAACACATTGCGGTTTCTCCGCGGCCCCTGCACTGGACCTAAGTGTGTCTACGCCTGTGACCATGTCATCTGATGTGTGCCAGTGTCACCTGGAGTGTGGCCCAGCCTGGGAACCCTGCTGAGAGGGACCTCCCCGAGCGCAAACACAAGAGGACTCCACACGGGGACCTGGGACCTTTGGAATTACTCATTGTCCTCACTGAGCCTGTCACAGCTGGAGAGAGTCCGGGCCATGTTCTCTGAGTCAAAGGTGTCACTCTCGGTCCCTCCCTCAGAAATGGAAGCAGCTGTCACGGCTCCAGCGGAACGCGGTCCTCTTCCTGCTGGCCTTCATGGTCCTCTGTGGGCTCCTGTCCTGCATCAGCGTGGCCGACCAGTGGAAAGGTACCAGCCCCCTGGGCGCCTTACACGGTAGAGCTGGTGACCGGGCTGACTGGCCGAGCGCTCTGGTCGTTGGCCTGGAATCGCCCCTGGAGGCACTGAAGGGCAGCGAGCTGGACAGAGAAACGTAGAGTGTTTTCAGCCACCTTGCTGGATCAGGTGGTGACGTCTGACTGCGTCCCGCATGTGGCGCCACGTTCTCTGTCCTGAGGGTGACCGCCCGCTCTAAGTGCATCCCGTGGTTGTCACACATGTGTTGCCATGTGTTTGGAGGGGACCGGCAGAGTCCTGGTGAGGGCGGAGAGAGTCCTGAGTGCCTCTCAGGTGGCCCATTTAGGAGCAAAGCTAATGAGCAGCTGCAGTCCGGTCTCTGGTGTCCAGGAGGGACCTGCACGGTGGGGGGTGAACGTCCCCATCACTTTGGCAGGAAGCGAGGCTGAGGCCCTTCTAGAGGCCACGTGGACGCGCCTCTTGCTCAGCACTGGTCCCCAGACCTGTTCTGGAGACAGAGCGTGGTTCCGGCCAGACCTGACCTGGGCCACAAGCCCCCCACTGAGTCATCTGTGTACGCCGAGGACGTCTGCTCCGCTCACATGGATGTTGAAAAGCAGAGACTGCGACCACGTGTCAGCCTCCTTCATGTCCTGGGAGGGGTCCTGGTCACAGCCCCTGTGGAGCACTGGCTGTGAGATGGAGGAGGAGCGCTGTCTGCACCTTGTCACTGGCATGGCGCCTTTGAGGATGGGCGGGGAGGCCGGGGCCAGGCTGCGACGGTGCTCGCGCTTCCCTTCGGGACATGGTTGGGACCCTTTCGTGCTCCCCTTCGGGCCTGTGACAGCCCCCTCGCCTGGGAGGCCACGTCTCGGTACCCCAGCACGTTCCCTTGGGCCGGGATTCAGGAGCGTGGGGCTGTCCAGTCGGCTCCCCCGCGGGTCACGTGTCCATCTGGGCGCGCGTGCCGAGCTGAGCATCCCGCTTGTCCGCTGCCGCCGGCGGGAAACGCGGTCGGGCCCACTGAGCCCAGCGCACTTCCGCTGCCGGGCAGCGTCGGAGCCACGCGAAGCCAGCAGGCTCACGTCTGTCCTCGTCATTGGACGGAAGCGGGCAACGGGGTGGCCTCGTGCACCGTGGACGGGGCCTCCCGGTGACGGCGGACGGTGACCTCTGTGTCCTCTGTCAGGAGGACTTGGGGAACCGGCTGCTGCCTGCGTTCCGGACGCCCTCCAAGGTCCCGTACTCCGACGTGAACCTGGGTGGCCCGCCCACCCCGGTGGACGTCCGACAGCACGGTGGCCGAGGTGACGAGCATCCAGCTGGAGTTCCGAGAGCTGTCTCGTCTCACGGGAGCTACGAAGTTCCGGGTACGGGCCGGGCATCCCCCCGGGCCGTGGCGGTAAGCGCCGGTCACGTGGATGCCGACCCCGGGCCGCAGGACCCCGCCGACTTTTCCTAGAGCACCCGCCGGGTCACCGATAGCGGGCGCCGGGCCCGAGAGGCGGGGACCGACGGCGAGCGCTCCGCCTGGCCCTGCCCTGGTGCGGCGTCCCGTCCTTGGCCCTGACCGAGCTGGCGGCTTGTTACGCGGGGCTCTGCGTGGCCCCTGGCTCTGTGTCCTGGGCCTCCTCGGTGCCCGCGTGCCCGGGGCTGCCTCGGTCGTGGCTTCCAGGTGTTGGACGTGTCGAGATGCTGGCGCTTTGTAGTCGGCTCTGTGCTGGTGACATCGTGGTTGTCCCGACCGGCGGTCTCCCACGGTGCTGCAGCGGCCGGTGGATCTGTCCCGAGAGGACGGCTGGGGTGGTGATGTGGACACGCAGCCAACTTGCTGTGTGATGGGGTGGACACTGCCTCATCTTCCTCCTGGAGATGAAATTCAATAGTGAGGGCACATGGCCTCTGCAGTGGTCTCCTGTGTGTTACCCTTGAGACTCTGCCTGCAGTTGTGGTCGGCTCTAAGGCTGTGAGCCCTCTGTTTACTACCTCTCCCTTTGGTGTCAAATGCCACCCTTGCATGTGCGCCTGGGGATCCCTGCCATCTGTGTAAAGAGGACAGAGCGTGCTCCAGGCAGGTGGGCTCTCAGGCCGGCCCTGAGCCCGGCCCTCGCCGCTCCTTCCCCCCACCCTGGCCAGGCGCGGCTCGGGAGGGTTACAGCCTGTAGCTCATGTCGGTCCTGCGACACTCACTCCCGTGCTCCCCACTGGAAGCTGGGAAACTGAGGCATGGGCGAGTAAGTGACTTGTACAAGATCCAGCGTCAGTGGAAGATTGGGTGGGCCACTCCAGACTCCCTGCTTTTCTTTTCTTTTTAAAAAATACCTATCAATATTTATTAATAAAATGAATGTAAAGTGAAGGTCAAAACTGGAAGTTTTTACCCAGAATGCTTCTTAAAAATGTTTTAAATTGTGGTAGAATGTAAATGACATAAAATCGACCGTCTTCACCAGGGTGAGCGCACAGCTCGGCGGCATCCGGCACAGTCACTCTGTGCGTGGCTGTCACCAGCATCACCTGCAAGACTTTCTCATCTTCCCAGAGGGGAACTCTGTCCCCGTTAAACTCTCACCCCTCCCCCGCCCCGGCCCCACCACCTACTTCCTGTTTCTGTGAAACTGCTTTTTTCTTTTGTTGCTTCTCAGGGGTTTTTTTGTTGTTGTTTGTTTGTTTGTGGTAAAAACACAATTAATAACATAAAATTCACCATCTTAACCATTTTGGCAGCATAGGGCTCTGTAGTATTAAGTCCATTAGCATCACTGTGAACTATGTTTCTAGAACTTTTGTCTTGCAGAATGGAACTCCAGGCCTATGAAACAGAAGTAGAACCCCTTCTGTTCTACTTCCTGCGTCTGAATTCGGTTACTCTGAGCATCTCACATCCTGGGGTCGCACGGTATTTGTCCTTCTGTGCCTGGCTCGTTTCACCGAGCACCGTGCCCTCCAGGCCCATCCGCGCGGCAGCGGGGTCTGGGCTCCTCCCTTTTTAAGGCTGCGTGGCATTGCGCTACGAGGACGCAGCACATCTGCCCAGTCCTCTGTTGATGGACACTTGGGTCGCTCCCAGGTTTTGGCTGCTGTGAGTAGTGCTATGCACGTGGTGTAAAAACACCTGTAGAAGTTCACCGACACCTGGAGGCGCCGGACCATAAAGACATTTCAATGCCTGGTCTTTTGAGGTACGGCCTCGCTTTCCATCATGGCGGCACCGCTACCACCGTGCACAGGGCCCTGAGGTCGCCACGCCCCGCCAGCGGGACAGTAGCGTTCCCACGAGTGCGAGGTGAGACCTCGCCGCGATTCTGATGTCCGTTTCCATAATGGTCACGGACGTTGAGCATCTTTCCATGTGCTTGTCTGTTCAGGGCCTGGACTTTCCTAAATTACCTTGGACAGAAGAACAGAGTTGAAGGACATACATTTCCCCATATAAAAACCTACTACAAGGGCCAACATTCAAAAGAGCGTGGTGCTGGCCTCGAGGTAGACATGCATAGCAAGGGGCTGGACGTGAGTCTGGAAACAAACTCGTGCCCATGTGGCCAATGGACTTTTGTAAAGGTGGGAAGTCTACTCAACGGGGAAAGAACTTTGTCTTCAACAAATGTGCTGGGACAACTGGATATTCACATGCAGCAAAGAGCGAGGTTGGATCCCTACCTCACACCAGATACAGTTAACTCGAATCGGATCAACAACATAACTCTAAGAGCTAAAACCATAAAACTCTTAAAAGCGGGTAAATCTTCACAACCTCGATTTGACCGTGGATTCTTAGATAAAATTCCAAAAGCATAAGCAACAGAAGAAGAAATAGACAAATTGGACTCCATCCAAATAAAAACTTGTGTGCGCTAAGGGACACTATCAACAAAGTAAACAGGCAACCCACAGAATGGAAGAAAATTTTTGCAAACAACGTATCTGACAAGGGCTTAATATCCAGAATGTATTTTTTAAAAGTCAATGACAACAATAAAAACAAACTGAACAACAAAAAACTAGAACTCAACAGAGAAATGAACAAAAAGAGCCCCTTTATTAAAAGGCTACATTATATATTATCTATAATGTACACACAAATGAACACAGTCATCCTCGCAGGTGCAGCGTGGGTCAGAGCTGAGGGCACTGGGACCTACTTGTGGATCCCCCCACACCCCCATTTAAAAATGGGCAAAGCACCTAAATAGACATTTCTCCAAGGAAGATATATAAATGTCCAATAAGCACATGAAAAGATGCTCAACATCACAAATCGTTAGAAAAACGCAAATCAGAACTACAGCGAGACAGCACCTCGCACGCATGGGGACAGCGGAAAACGGCTAGTGCCAGCGAAGGCGTGGAGAAGCGGGAACGTAGCGCCCTGCCAGCCGGAATGTGCGCTGCAGCCGCTGCAGAAACTGGTGTGGCGGTTTTGCAAAAAAGAAAACATGGGGTGGCCATGTGCCCCAGCGAGGCCACTTCCGGGGCCACACCATGGGGACGAGAGCGGGGTCTCCCGGCGAGGCCAGCACGCCCGCCTTCACGGCGGCATCACTCCGAGCAGCCAAGAGGTAGAAACCACCCAATGTCCACTGATGGTTGAATGGATAAAGAAAATATGGTATCTATACACGACGGAATATTACTTACCTTTAAAAAGGAAGGCAGTCCCGACACCTGCTACGAGGAGGCTGGGCCTTGAGGATGTCATGCCGTGTGAAAAGAGCCCATCACAAAGGACTCCAGGTACATAAGGTGTCTGGAGGGGGCGGAGTCAACGACACAGAACGCGGACTGGAGGTTACCTGGGGCTGGGTAAACGGTGAAGACGGTTTGAGATGGTGAAAGCATTTGGAGACAGACAGCATTGCACAATGTCGTGGGTGCACTTAAGGCCCCCCAACTTACAAGTGGTTGGCAGGACCCAGTTCTGCACGGGTGCAGCGTGGGCCGGGGCTGAGGGCGCCAGGCCTGCCGGGCCCCCCGACCCCCACTGGCAGCCTTGTGGTCTAAAAGCGGAGCAGGTGGTGGTGGGGACCAGGGCTGGCTCCCCAAATTCGTGGGCTGTGGGGGACCAGGCTCCCTAAATCTGTGGACTGTGGAGCGGGGATCAGGCCCCAACTGTGTCCCAAAAGTAATTGGCCCCAGGAAGTTGTGGGGAGGGCTTCTGCATCCCCAGATGCACCCCATGCGCAGGGCCGCCAGGTGTGGCGGGACAGTCTGAGAGGGGATCGGGATGCCCTTCTCTGGGTCTTCCCGGTACCACCCCAGGCCCGGAGGAGCTACCTGCAGGGCGTGGAGGGGTGACGCAGCGGCTCTGCAGTCAGGGGCTTGGGCTCGGGCTCCCGAGCCCAGAGGGCGACGGCAGCGGCAGCGGCAGCGGCCTGGGGAGGGGCTGCCAGTCCTCGTCCCCTGTCCTGGCCTTCGCCCTCTCTACTTTAGACAGGTCAGGCAACCCTGGGTGGGGGCCCGGGGACACAGAAACAGGGACACAGGGACGCGGCGACATTTGGACTTGGAGACACAGAGGTATGAGGGGGACACGGAGACACAGGGAGGGGGACATATGGATGGGGACACAGAGATGGGGACACAGGGACGAGGACACAGGGACATGGGGACGCATAAACGGGGACATGGGGGAGGGCACACGGGGATAGGCACATGACAGGGTGAACATGGGGTTATAGGAATAGAGACTCGGGGACGGGGACACAGAGCCACAGAGACACAGGGACGGGGACAGGGGGGGCACACGGGGACACAGGGACGGGGACAGGGGGGGCACACGGGGACACAGGGACGGGGACAGGGGGGTGGGCACACAGGGACACAGGAACATGGGGAACACGAGGACACAGGGTAGGAGACACAGGGACGGGAACACAAAGGAACAGAGACAGTGGAACACGGGGACGTGGGCACACAGGGGTACAAGGATGGGGATGTGGAGACATAGGGACAAAGGGACGAGGACATGGGGACACAGGGACGGGGGACACGAGGACACGGGGATGGGGACAGGGACTGTGGGGTGATTGTGGTGTGGCACTGGGTGACCATGGGGTGACCACACCCATGGGGTGGTATGACATGATGGTCATTGTCACCATGCTGGTTGCCCCAGTGACAGGCTTGGGACAGTGTGGGGGCAGCCAGTCCTCACGCTCAGCCCCAGCCTGGCTGGGGGCCTTGGGGTCCCCAGCTGCGGCCAGGGCCCAGCACCCCAGCCCAGGCAGAGGCCCAGGGTCATGCTGGCCAGAAACAGTCTGGGGAGTGCGCACTGGCGGGGCCCCCTGGGGTGGGGGGCTGCTCTGCAGGTCTGACCCCACTCTCAGGCCCCGGAGTGGATGCCAGGGGACCGGTGGCTCCCCAGCCCTCTGGGCACTGGCACCTCCTGGGGCCCTGCTCACTCAGGTGCCCAGGAAGGGAAGGCCTGAGGGGGAGGGAGAGGTCCCTGGCCCCCTGCCCAGGCCTCAGCCCATCCCTCCCTTCCCCACCCAGCCCCACCCCCACAGCCCCGTAGCCCTTACTGCTGCGTGGACAAGCTCCCTCCTCAGGCGTCCACCGCCATGTCCCCGAGACCCGTCCTGCCCCCTCCGGTGGCCTTCCCAGACCCTGCCCTCAAGAGCTGCCCCTCCCCCACGGGGCTGGGAGCCGGGGAGGGCCTGGGCTCCCGGGTGGGTACTGGTGACGTGCTCACCTGGCACCTGGCTGGAAGGACCAGCCTGGAGGACCAGTGGGGAGGCACGGGGCAGGCCGGCGCCTCGGCAGTAGCCGATGGAGGACAGGTGGCCGGGCGCAAGTTCCTGCGCCAGCGCCAGCTCCTAGAGCCCTGGCTTCACGTGTCCCTATGGTGACTGTCTCCGTGGTGACACAGCGGCTGCCAGCACTGGACGGAAAGACACAGAAGCCGCTAGCGAGAAGGAAGTGACAGACAGCCCTGCTCACAGCTCCAGATGTCACGTGACGGGGACCCAGTCAGTCACATGACCCGCTCGCGCCGGCTAAAGCAGGCATGAGCCCTCAGCTCCGGCCAGCCCTGTCCTGGGCCTGGGCCCTGCTGCTAGCACTGGGGCCGCTGGGCCTGGAGGCGGGGGGTAAGTACCGACCCGTGGGCCCTCCCGCCATCCCCTGGGGGCTGCGCCCGCTGAGCATCGTGCCTTCCAGCCTACAGAGACCCAGACCCCAACTTCCGGGAGGACTACTTCGAGCAGCTTCTGGACCATTTCAACTTCGAGAGGTTTGGCAACAAGACCTTCCTCCAGCGCTTCCTGATATCAGGTGAGGTTGCTTGGGGGCTCCCGGCCCTGGGGGGCTTGTCTCATGCCTCACCACCCCCTCATTCTGCTTCTACCCAACAGACAAGTTCTGGAAAAGGGGCGAGGGGCCCCTGTTCTTCTACACGGGCAACGAGGGGGACGTGTGGTTCTTTGCCAACAACTCGAGGTTCATCCTGGAGCTGGCGATGCAGCAGGAGGCCCTGGTTGTGTTTGCGGAGCACGTGGGTACCCGGCGGGCCGGGGGCTGGGGGCTGGGGGCTGGCGGACAGGGGGACAGGCGGGGGGCGCGGGGTCAATGTCCACCTGCCGCCCACAGCGGTACTACGGGAAGTCGCTCCCGTTCGGCGAGCAGTCCACGCAGCGCGGGCACACGGAGCTGCTGACCGTGGAGCAGGCCCTGGCCGACTTCGCCAGGCTGCTCCGGTCACTGCGGCAGGACTTCAAGGCTCGGGACGTCCCCGCCATCGCCTTCGGCGGCAGGTGGGCCCTGGCCTCCCTTCCTCTCCAGGAACAAGGGTGCACCTGGCCGGAGGGCCGGAATTTCTGTGGGTCCCGAATGTTCTTGACCTTCTTGGGGCACCGGCGGGGAGGGCCAGGGGGGAAGCGGGGGTTGGGGCCGCAGGGAGCACGCCACAGCCTTACCCTGTGCCCGCCAGCTACGGGGGAATGCTCAGCGCCTACATGAGGATGAAGTACCCCCATCTTGTGGCGGGCGCGCTGGCGGCCAGTGCACCTGTGGTGTCGGTGGCGGGCCTCAGCGACTCCCACCAGTTCTTCCGGGACCTGTCTGTGGTGAGTGCGAGGGCTCAGGGACCCGGGCGGCCCGGGCACGGTGGCAGCTGCAGCCACCACCTTCCCGCTTGGTTTCCAGATTTTTGAGAACCAGAGTCCCGAGTGTGCCCAGGGCGTGCGGGACGCGTTTCGGCAGATTAAGGACTTGTTCCTGCAGGGAGGTGAGGAGGCTGCACCCTGCCCCTGGGCTCCCCCCTCCGGCCCCCCAGCGCCAGTGACCTCCAACGGCTCTTGTCCTGTCCCCTCCTGCAGCCTACGAGGAACTCAGCCGGGAGTTTGGTACCTGCCAGTTGGTCACGGACTGGAAGAGCCTGGCCCAGCTCTTCGGGTTTGCCCGGAATGCCTTCATCATGCTGGCCATGCTGAACTACCCATACCCCACCGACTTCACGGGGCACCTGCCTGCCAACCCCGTTCAGGCGAGGCCCCCGCTCCAGGGGACAGGGAGGGGCCCAGCTGCCCTGGGGCAGTCAGTGCCAGCCAGCTCGAGGGCCATGCACCATGCTGTGGCCAGGGACCAGGGCGGGTGAGCCGGGGCAGGGGCTGCAGGCAGCCACTGGACCTCCTGCTGAGGTGCCCCCCGGCACCCACAGGTCGGCTGCAAACGGCTGCTGAGCGAGACCCACAGGATCAGGGGGCTCCAAGCGCTGGCAGGTGCGTCTGCCCCTCAGCCGCAGGCGGGGTGCGCGTGGGGGGAACGCAGCATTGGCAGCCTGAGGAGCGGGCAAGGATGGGTGGGGGCAGGAAGCCCAGCAGGCTCTTGGGCCCATGACACCCTGCCGTCGTCACCTTTGGGAAGTTGCCACCCCTCCTGGCCCAGCTTGCGGGTCACTGCTCCAACGAGCTCTGGGAGGTTCGGGCAGGGTGGGCAAGGGCTGATAGGACAGACCCTGGGTACTCCGCCTCGCTGAGCGCATGAGATGCCAGGCCCCCGATGCCTGCGGGGCCCCGCTGAGAGGGTGGGGCAGGTGTCCAGCCCCTGGCCCCAGCGCCTCCGTCCCCCAGGGCTGCTGTACAACTCCTCGGGCACGGAGCCCTGTTACAACATCTACCAGCAGTACCAGGCCTGTGCAGACGCCACAGGCTGCGGCCTGGGCCCCAACGCCAAGGCCTGGGACTACCAGGTATGGGGCGCCTGAGACTACCAGGTATGGGGCGCCTGGGACTTTTAGGGGTGGGGGTACTGAATGAGGTGGCCTGACGGCCGAGTGGGCTTCCTACAGGCCTGCACCGAGATGAACCTGGCCTTCTCCAGCAACAACCGGACGGACATCTTCCCTGACCTGCAGTTCACCGAGGACCTGCGCCAGCAGTACTGCCAGGAGACATGGGGCGTGTATCCTCGGCGGGACTGGCTGCTGACCAACTTTGGGGGCGCTGGTGAGGCTTGGGGTGGGGTGGGGCGACGTCTTTCCCTTGGCACAGAGCTGGCTCGGCGGTCTGCACGCCCGCGGCAAAGCTGGAGTCTGATCCACCCCACGGTGCCAGGACCTCGGGCCGTGCCCAGACCCTGCCACTCACTGTGCTCCTTTCAGACCTCAGAGCAGCCAGCAACATCATCTTCTCCAACGGCGACCTGGACCCCTGGGCAGGGGGCGGGGTGAGTCTTGGCGGGGCTGATCCACTGGGGCCGTCTCAGATGGTGACAGTGTCCCATGCGGGGTTCTCCTTGTGGCTTTGCAGAATCTTAAGGACCCCACCCTGCCTTTGCCGATGTCCACACTTGAGTTCTGTGCTTCACTGTCCCGTCCCCTACCCTTCTGGTTTTCCTGACTTATGGGAACTGGCCTCTGGCTTGCCTGTCCTTTGCGATGGGACCAGCCAGGCTACGCGGTCTCAAGTCACTGCTCTAGCTGTGCCCCGCAGCTGGGACGTGTGGGCGGGCTGGAGGGCTGGCTGGCCTGGAGTGCGCGCCCCACATGGCATGTCCTCGGCTGACACAGATTCGGAGTAACCTGAGTGCGTCGGTCCTGGCCATCACCATCCACGGGGGAGCACACCACCTGGACCTCAGGTGGGGTCCCAGCCTGGGAGGGGCGCTCGCCTGGTCTGGTCCCATGCTGAATGTGGGTGGGCTTGGCGAGAGGCTGTCTGTCTGCCCCACTGAGTGCCCCCTGCCCCCTATGCCTGCTCCTCAGAGCGTCCCACCCGGAAGACCCCATGTCTGTCAGGGAGGCACGCAAGCTGGAGGCCACCGTCATCCACAAGTGGGTCACGGCAGCCAGGCATAAGCAGCAGCTGCAGCAGGAGCGGAAAGGGGGCTCAGAAGCTGAGGGGCGCACTCCCACCTAGGACCAGCGGAGACTGCCTCCCAGTCACTTGAACCTCAGCTCAGTCATGGGGTGCAGGGGCCTTGCACGAGGGAGGATCTGACCGAAGGCCTGGTGGCCCAGCCAAGCCTGTCCCGTCCCAGCTGTGGTCCACGTGCAGGAGCGTGACAGTGAGCGCGCGGCCCAACCTTCCCATGTCCGCCACGCGTCAATAAAACAAACCTCAATCCTCTCTGCTGCTTGGGGGTTACTGGGTGGGGACGGTGGCATTTCACATGGCCAGCTGAACCACGACACCAAAGCACGAGGGACCACCTGGGTGGCGCCCTCCCTCCCGGCCAACCTGTCACCACCGCCACTGCACCAGCGTCCCCGCAGGGGCCCGCTGAGGGGCCGTGGCCTGGCTCCCCGTCACTGCTCATAGTTCATCTGCTGGGGGTTGCTGGGGCACGGGGAAGTCTCTTTCCTGAGCGCCTCGGGCATCACCTCCCAGTGGGTCTGAGCTGGACCTTCACTGTCCAGATCCTGCCACGCAGCTGCTGATGGGCCCCGTGGCAGCACGACGTGCCCGCCGGCCGTAGGGGCCGTGCAGGGCAGGCCGGCAGCCGCAAGGGCAGGCCGAGAGGCAGTGTCTGAAGCAGGCTCTGTGAGCCGTTCCAGACACGAGACGTGCAGAGCTGACAGCCAAGCAGCAAAGGGGGTGCAAGCAGGGCAGCCTGGCGGTGGCCGCCACAACACCCACGTGTGGGGGCCAGCAGGGAATACACCCGGACCACAGGCCAGGCTGCCGTGGAGCCCACATCTCTGCAGAGCTGCTTGGAGAGGCCCTGGCTCCTGAGGGACCTGGATCTTATAGAAATGAAGACGGCGGTGGGCTCCCAGTTTAACATGGAGGGAGCTGTACCTGTCCTACCTGCCAAGCCACCTGTCGTAGGTGGCGGGGGACCCCGGGCCAGGGCCCAGGGATTGTCTTTTCTCTGGAAACTGGCCCGGGCCAGTCCTAAGGGATGGGCACAAGCAACAGCACAGAAGACGGTGCCAAAGCACGCGGCAGGCAGAACCCACCGTGCCACCGGGGCCTGGGCATCCTCTGTCCTCTGCCCCGCCAGGCACCACAGGGCCCAGCACCCGCCCACAGCGCTGACACCACTTCCCAGTCTCTCGCCTGCAGGGGACAGCACGACGCTGCCCCAGCGGACAGCGAGGGCGAGACCACCAGCCCCGCCCCTCCACCAGATGTTCGGGAAACAGACCACGTACTCGGCCACGCCACTTACAGCGAATCCACCTTTATCCTGACGGAAAGCCCGTTCCGTCCGGTGGCCTGGGAGCAGGATGACCATGCCACCTGCCCCTCCCAACCCCTGAAGGGCGGGGACAGTCCCTGAGTCCAATAAGTAAACACCACAGCTAGCCAGGAGGCCAGGTCCCCATGAGGTCAGACACCCGAGAGCTCGGTCAGGGCACGTCCACAGGCCTGAGACCCCGAGGCCAGCTGCATCCCAGGGTCCCTTCAGCTCTTGTCTCTGAACACAACGTGGGGTCTGGGGACCCACGGTGGCCCCAGGACCCCCACCAAGCCCCTGCGTCGGTGGACAGGAGTGCGCCCAGGTGTCAGGAATGTGAGTCATGGCTGGAATCTTCTCAGAGAGGAGGAGGGGGAAGACTGGACCACCCTGGACCACAGTCCCTGACAGGGACTACGGACAGGAGCCCAGCAGCCGCCCCAGCACCTCACGAGGCCCCGATGTCCTGGCCCAGCTGCCTGATGGCCTGTCGTCAGCCCGGCCTGAACAGCATCCAGCCAGCGGGGTGGACACCACACGGCTGAGGTCAAAGCAGGGGGCTACATCCAGGGCCAGGGCCCAGCTGACTTGACAGGCCTGGCAGCCCACGTGGGGGCCGCGGCCTCAGGCAGGGCCCCAGATGGGCAAGGGGTGGGCCTCGGTGTTGAACACATAGGCGTCCAGGCTGAGCAGGGCCGGGTCGTCAGAGAAGAGCAGGTAGAGGTACTTCAGCGTCTCCCCCAGGAAGAAACTCTCCATTTTGTCCCTGGGCTGTGGATCATGGGGATCCTGGACATTGCTGATGGAGGAATAGCCACCCGAGGGGACCTGGCGAAGGCAGAGACCGTGGGTCACGGTGGCAGGCACAGCCTGCTGACCACCCCACGCTCCGCCCTCGGCAGGGCCCCAGCCGAGGCGCCCCCAGGCTCCCGCCTCACTGCAGCACACACGGCCAGGGCAGGGCTTGGGGTAGAGAACCCCAAGGTCCATGAGGGAAATGGCTGTCCTGGAGGTCACTGTGGTCCCTCCAGAGATTGATGGGGCAATGCCAGCTGCCCTCGAGTGACCAGCCTCTGGAGCCCTGTGGGGGCCTCACGACAACCCTGAGATCGCCCCACAGGTGCGACCGACACCTTACACTCCACAGAGCAGAGGCCGAGTCAAGGCAGTGCCCTGAGCAGATGTCACCTGCCTTGAGCCGTGGCCAGGCAGCAAGACGGGCGGCCGAGCCCCGAGCGTTGTGGTCGCAGAGCCCACCCCGAGGAGCAGTGGTCTCGGGGTCATCAGGGTGAGGGCTGCCCAGGCCACACAGGACCCAGGGCAACACACTCTGTGCATGGCGAGCCACCACAGAGACCCTGCCCATCTGGCTGGTCCCTCAACACAGAACAAAGGGACACCCCGGCCCAGATCCTGGGTCCCACGGGCCCTCCACCACCAGAAGCACAGGGCAGCTTATCCTGGAGGCCTTGGCAAGGCCGCCCACCTGCCCCGCCCTGCCCCCCTTGGCGGTGCCAGCAAGGCGCTGGTGGGTGCTCACACGCGTGTACGTGTTGAAGTTCTGCAGGATGGCCCAGCCCCAGTCCTGGTACTTGCGGTCTCCCGTGAAGCGGTACAGGTAGAACAGGCTTTCCACCGTCTCTGGCCGCAGGAGGTTGTGCCTGTCGGCGGGCTGGGGGCGCAGGCTCGGGTGAGCCCCACCCTCAGCACCAGCCAGCCCCGCCCCCACCCCCAGACCCGCCCCACTCCGCCCACGGACCCCCCGGGGCTCACCTTGACTAGCACGTCCTTCTGAGACTTCTGCGGCTGCAGGTTGAAGTGTGCAATTTCGGGGCTCAGCCCCGTCTCCATCTGCCTGTTCATCTGGTAGCAGGTGTCCATGAGTGCCCGCGCCAGCTGCATGTGCTCGGCGGGCAGGCCGTGGTGGGCGCCCAGAGCCAGCGTCCCTGGCAGGAAGCACACCAGGTGGTCCTGAAATCGGAGGGTCTCCTCACCACCGCTGAGCCACAGGCCACACAGGATTGGCCCTGGCCCGTGCCACGCCAGGCCCCCAGGTCCCCAGGAGTCCCAAGCAGCAAAGGGGGTGCAAGCAGGGCAGCCTGGCGGTGGCCACCAGGGCAGGAGGGCAGCAGCTGAACTAAGGCCCGGCACAGGCAGACAGGCGGGTGGAAGGCCACCCCACGTGCCAGGTGCCCCGACCCCTCAAACATCGATGAGCACCAGACGCAGGGGGCTGGAGGTGGGCGAGGGAACAGGGACCCTGGGGAGGGGAGGCAGTGGGCCAGGAGAGGTGCCTGTGCACGTCACAGCTGATTCCCCCCGTAATCCTGGGCCCGCCCGGGCTGTGCAGCCCACATCCACCTCCGACACCTCACATTCGTTAGCCAGTTTCCCTTCTCTCTTTGGCCAGGCTCAAGAGCCTGGGGTCAAGGACAAGTGGATGTGCAGCAACCCTGACCCTGCCTGGTCTGGGCACATGCTCAACATGCTCACCATCTTGGCGCTGAAGCGGCCATGGGCGAGCTCCCCAACGAAGGTGAGCTTGCTGGGCTCCGATCTGCGCAGCAGGTGCTTTCTGATTCCGTCCACGGCCTCCAGATAGTCGTCCAGTAACCTGCAAGACCAGGAGATCCTGTTTGCTCGGGCCAAGTAGGTACAAAACCCCGGCGTCGAGCCATGTGACTCGGAGCTGCTGCTCACACGCTAACAGCCGGGAGGCCGGGCCCCGTCTGGGGAGCACCACACCAGCTGAGGGCAGCGGTGGCGGGTCAGCCTGCAGGGCCGAGGGCACAGCCCTCTGCTCCCCGAGCAGGACCTCCTTCTCAGCCAGCCCCTGAACGGTCTTGTTCCCGCCCTGGGGGTTGACCTGGAGCTTGCACCACCAGGGGCCCAGGTCACAGCCACACCCGGGCTGCAGACGTCAAGCCACCCCGATCCCGCACGAGGCTTTACGTGCACTTTGCAAACGATACTCACAGCTGCTGCAGTGCTACCTGAGAATGCGCACGTGCTGAGCAGCAGGACAAAGAGCAGAGGGAGGACACAGGCCCTTCTACCGCTGCGAGGGAGGGGACGGCCAGAGCCACCCCTCAACCCGAGAGGACAGTCGGCAGAGACCGGCGCCCAGCGGCACCCCCAGGCCCCGGGCCCTGCCTGGCGCTGTGCCGGGAAGCACATCGCCCTGGAGGGGCCGGGCCCAGGCCCAGCCGGCCACTGCGATCTGACCGAGGGCCGGGACAGGCGGGCGGCAGAGGTGGCCTCACCGCTGGTCGGTCTTCCCGCCCTGGATCCACTGCTTTAGCAAGTACTCATAGTAACTGTCCGCCCGGGCGCCCAGCGTGAAGACACCGCGGTGGGTGAACAGGCCGCTGTGCACGTTGATGAACATAGGCACGAGCCCATCCTTCTTCCCGGACAAGGAGTGGACATGCTTCGTCACCTCCTCCACGGCCTCCTAGACAGACAGGGGAGGGCCGGTGAGCGAGGGCGAGAGCTCCACCAGGCCCCCACGCGGGGACCAACCCCGTCCCGCAGAGCAGAGGCCGGCGTCCCGGCCAGGCCGCCCTCAGTGCCCAGGTCCCGTGGGAATTGTGAACAGCCCCATGCCACACAGTGACGCAGTCTGTCCCCCAGATGTGGCCACCTCGTCACAGGCCCTGACCACAGATGACCTGATCCTCCTGGTGGCTCTCAGCCCCCGCTCTACTGGGGCTGTGTCTGGACCCACTGACCATGGTCCCAGGAGCCCCTGTCCAGTGTGGCCTCAGGCCCTGCGTCCGGAGAGGAGGAGGCGTGACTGCTGAGCCCAGGGCTGCTGGGCCCGACCCTTCAAGGCCCGAGCGGCCTCCCCTCCTGCAGGTCCGGCCGGGGCAGCACCCTGTGCCTGTGCCCCTCTCATGGGCGCTTGGGACCCTACCCAAGGGGGGGGTCCCTGGTCTCCCACCCACATGGCCCCCTTGCCGGATCGCCTCCGGGGGGGCTGCCACTCCTTTCTCTCCCATCTCCAGCGGGTGCAAAGACCTGGCCACGCGTGGCTGCGGGAGCAGCTCCCGAGCAAACCTCACGTGCCGCGGTTGCCTCCCCCTCGACACCACCGAGACCGCCATGCGCGTCAGCACACGGGCCAGGGACCCGGCGCCTCCACGCGGCACGTACACGGGTGGCCACACAGAAGCCGGTTCCACAGCACAATGCCCAGTCAAGACGTGAGGCCTTTAAAGATGGAAAACGGGGACCACTGTGCACCGCTGGTCCCCACTCACGGCAGCACTGTCCCCACACTCCACGTCGGGGCCCACCCGACACCCATACATGGCGGATGGGTGAGTTGCACGGGGTCCGTGCACACAACAGGGCGTCATCCAGCCACGAGAGAGCAGGTTGTGACGTATGCGGCAACATGGTGCACCTTAGACACTGTGCTGTGACACAGGCCAAACATCCCATTTCATGGGATTGCATTTCCACGGGAAGAACCACTAAGGGTGCTGCCTACTGCAATGATGAAACGTGAGAACACCGTGACAAACACGTGAAAAAGCAGCCTTTCTTAATGTGCGAATCATATTTCAATTTAGGAAAAAGAGAAACACTCACGGACTGCAAGACGAGGCCAAAAGTACCCCACGTTCAGTTCACGCTCGAGTGATGCCGCTGACAGGACAGCACTGACAGACACTTTGAACACTAGGGCAACGTGTCAGCAGACAACGAACACGGACACTGCCTTCGTCCACATGGCGTGTGCCCACCCCATTGCACCCTAGGGTGGCCGCGGGTCCACACCACCGCCCAAGCTGTCCTCTCAGGACAGATCCACCGGCAGCTGCAGCACTGTGGGAGACCGCCGGTCGGGACCACAATGTCACCAGCACAGAGCCGACTACAAAGCGCCAGCGTCTCGACACGTCCAACACCTGGAAGCCACGACCGAGGCAGCCCCGGGCACGCGGGCACCGAGGAGGCCCAGGACACAGAGCCAGGGGCCACGCAGAGCCCCGCGTAACAAGCCGCCAGCTCGGTCAGGGCCAAGGACGGGACGCCGCACCAGGGCAGGGCCAGGCGGAGCGCTCGCCGTCGGTCCCCGCCTCTCGGGCCCGGCGCCCGCTATCGGTGACCCGGCGGGTGCTCTTGGAAAAGTCGGCGGGGTCCTGCGGCCCGGGGTCGGCATCCACGTGACCGGCGCTTACCGCCACGGCCCGGGGGGATGCCCGGCCCGTACCCGGAACTTCGTAGCTCCCGTGAGACGAGACAGCTCTCGGAACTCCAGCTGGATGCTCGTCACCTTGGCCACCGTGCTGTCGGACGTCCACCGGGGTGGGCGGGCCACCCCAGTGCCCAGGTTCACGTCGGAGTACGGGATCTTGGAGG